GTGGAGGAACTTCATGACCTTTCGCCAGAGAGCCGCCTCTTGCTCTGGCGTAGTACTGATCCCATCCCGCTTGGACAACGGACGGCTGCCAGTCTCCCTACGCCACTTAAGCCAAGCGACGTAGCTCATCCGCTCGGGATAGGGAACGTCTCCACCCTCGATCGCTTCGAGGAGGGTGACGCCCTCGGCCTGACCTGCAACCTCTGCGGACATCGCCGCGCCTTGGTTAGCAGGCCGCAGGCGTGGCACACGAAGCGCCGCGCCTTGGTTAACAGGCCGCAAGCGTGGCACACAGTCCACGCGTCCAGGTCACGGACCGCGACAGACAAGCAAAGCAATGCTTGCCCACTCGGGCCGTAGGCACAAGAGCTGTACTTCCCAGAACAGCCCCCAATTGTGAAGTCGACCAGCACTGGACTTGCACTAAGCCAATGCAATCACAGCCCGGCCACGCTGTTTTACGACTTCGCGAGTTCAAGCACTTGTGCAGCTACGCCTGAGTGCGTCCGGTCGGACCGCACAGCAACCTAAGAGCTACTGTACGAAACTACCGTGCTCAAAGGCACAAGCTCGGTACTTGAGCCAAAACATTGGCATTGTTACGAATTGCAAAACTACACATGCAAAGGAAAACAACACGCTGCACTAGCACTAAGCAAGCACACCATGCATGCTTTGACCTGCTCACATATTGTATACTATATACTATATACTATATACTATATACTATATACTATATACTATATACTATATACTGTAAACTATATACTAGATACTAGATACTATATACTATATACTATATACTAGATACTAGATACTATATACTAGATACTAGATACTATATACTATATACTATATATATATATATATACTGTACTAGATACTACTTGCTACATACAATACACACCATGTATGCATATGCTGATTTTCCTGCCCGTAGACTCCCTCGACCATTCTTTATCCTGTTGAGCCCGATCTGAGAACTGTCCCTCGACATCCTTTTTGCCCCGCGGGCAGGTCCACAGTGTGAAAAACCACTGCATGGCTTTTATAACCATTGGTAAATATGGTGACTTTCCATCAACAACTGTTGTCTCAAATAATCTTCTGTTTTTTTCCAACAATGAAATCCCAACCCTACACCCCACCTAATGCCCGAAGAAGTCAGACCCTAAACCCTAAACCCTAAACCCTCCTGCGCTGCAGCCGAGCTGCAAGCCAGCAGGGGCCCGGACGAGCTGCGAGGCCATCGGGGCCTGCCATCTGGTGTACCATGCATAATCAGGGTTTAGGATTTGGGGTTTAGGGTTTAGGGTTTAGGGTTTTTTTTTTGCCACCCGACTGGCCACGGCAATGCGGGGTACAAGGTCGGAAACTAGAAAAGAAGCGGTTTAGGGGTTTAGGGTTTAGGGTTCAGGGTTTAGGGTTTAGGGTTTAGGGTCTAGGGTTTAGGGTTTAGGGTTTAGGGTTTAGGGTTTTTTTTTAGGGTTTAGTATACAAAGCAGGTCATGATCTAATTTTGTATATTGTAGAAATATATATTATATTGCAGTATACCATAGCATTGCATTGGCATTTTATAGATGCTGTGAGCTTCACCATGGCCAGCCTGTGCCGCAGAGGCAGCGCCCACTGGCTGAAACAAGGGCTCACCCCTCACTCAACTCCTAGGCCCCAACGTCCCAAAAACTCCTGGGATGTGAAGATTCTGGAGATTATCGTAGATTCTACAGCCTGGAGTATATTAGTGGTACAGTGTCGTAGAGGACTTCGAAAGCATCTTTCCACTTCGTTCCAGTAAGAGAAGGCTTGATTGAGCCTGCAGCCTTCAAAATCTGGCATGCCTGCTACGTGTCCAACAAGCTAAATCGAAGCGTGGCTCGAGCAACGCTGCGGAGGTGTTTGCAGGAACTTGCAGATATGCATGGCATGCGGCAGCTGCGAAAAGGGAATCTGAGGGGTATGCTAATACAGGGCGCAGGTCGAAGGACCCTCAACAATGGTAAAAAAGGCGCCCGTTCCATCCAAGTATCACCCATGATGTACGCTGACCCGGAATCCCACAGCCCGCATCGGCTCACTCTGCTCACTCCGGGGCACGGACGGCGTCCAGGTATCTTCGACGATCTCTTGGGCCATGGCGGGCCCTGGCACGAGCACAGCCAGAGCCGGATCCTAGATCGCCAAGGCAGCGCACGAGACTCCCCAGAAACCTTCAGAACAAAACCACGCCGAGTCATTCATGGACCACCGGTCGCCACTGACTGAAAAATGTTCATGCTGTTGTGATCACGTTTGCCATCCAGCCTCGGCTTCGAGGTCCATATTTGGGTGGCACGAAGAGGAGCTGCGGGACACACATTGCGGCAATGCGCCAACAATCATCATACCTTCTTCAGAGTCTACCCACACGGCTTCAAAGACCTGCAAATGCAAAGGGCCACCAATAAACCAACCTTTTGCAGCGTGAGCAGAGTCTCTCCATTTCTCCTCCCATCTTCCTAGTTTCACAGAGGGTCGCTGCAGGAGACTTTGCTAGGGTGCCCTGGACTTCTGGCAATGAATCGCCTAATTCTGCCCGAAACTGCAAAAAGACCCTCCAAGCTCCCTGTGAAGGGGCTTTGGCCTCAAAGAGCCTCTGCACCCTGGGAAACCACAGGGTCCATGCACCGCAGCTAAACTCTCCTGCGGCTTTTTCGGCACTTAGCACTGGAGCTACCATTGTCAAAGCACCACTGGCCAGGGCGAGCAGAGCCAAAGACCTGGCAGGCCTTCCCAAACTTACACACAGGAGCGGACGACAAACCTCGGGGCCCCAACCCCCAAACTCTGAGCCACGAACCCCCGAAAGCATCCAACCCCTTGAAAAACCTGGAACTGCAAACCCTTCAGGCAAACCCAGGAAAGCATGAACAACCTCGAGGCATTGCTGACCAGACCCCAACGCCCGATGGCAAGGGCCATGCTCACCTCTTCTGGGCAGTGATGGGTTAACCCCCGTCCGCCTCGTGGGGGGGGGGCGAGCTCCAAGATTCTCGGAGAAAAAAAGTGCTCAGGGTTTAATGTCAAGGTACCTGTTTGGTATTTTTGGCTGCTCTGTACAAACGGAACCTGGAACCCAAGAAAAGGTAAAAGGGTGCAGAGCTCATCAGGGGGTATTCGTCGGAGCGTTGCGCCCCCCGTCACTTGGTCCGAAAAAGGGGCTAGTGTCCCAGGCCCGAGCACCTCGGTCATCTGCAGCGTATGGGGCTGATGGTCTTCAGACACAAACCCTAAACACTAAACTCCGGAAACCTTTAAAGGCTGAGGGGCTGTAGGGGTCTTGGGTGATAGGGAAAACCTTTTTGCACCCTTGAGAACCAGTCAGAGGCTCTAACTGGCTGGAACCACTGAATGACACGGAAGCGCCGGGCTCTCGTGCAAAAGGACTCGAGGCGGCCAGGGCGATAGTGCAGCCAGTGCAGGTTCGCCGAGCGACGTGAGTACGTGTAGCTACAGACCTTTTGCATGGGGCCTGGGGTGGGGGAATTCAGAACCTCAACGAGATGTGGAAAGGGGAACAGTAGAGCAAGGCGCTATGCTGATCGTGCCCTACGACACCCCCAAACCCCAAAGAACACATGCCAGAGCGCAGATTGGGAGGGGCCGAGTGGCTTCATCTTGAGTTCAGGGCTTAGGGCTGGAGACCCCATCGGGTTCATAAGTATGCCCTCTCTTGTAGCGCCATGCCTTTCAGCAGCAAACCCGCCTAAAGGCGCGCATGAAACAGCACCATGGTTCCATGGTTGCCAGGAGCCCGAGATGTTCACGAGGTATTTTGGGGCTGCGAGCGGATGCGGGGTGACTAGCTTGCATGGGACAACAGGGGCTTCGAACATCTCGAGGCCAATGTCAGTTTGCTTTGTGGCCCACCGCTGACTGTTAGCAGGTTTGCTGCACCTCGGGACATATGCTCAAGGCCTCAAGGCAATCGCAACTGATCAACTTCTGCTTGTGCACTGTTCGACGTGATGGGCGGCTTCGCCCCGAGCGTATGCGCCCAACATGAAGCCCACAACAGCTTCCTCGGTCAAAGCCCTACTCCCAGCGCAAGGTGCCCAATAAACAGATGACCGGCTGAACTCCCTAAGGCTCTAAAACTCCCCAAAGGTGCGCCTGCTTGAACACTCAGCTCTCCGTCCCACCCGGCTGCGGCTTCGACCTGAGGCATTTGGCGGCGTTTTGAGATTTGGCCTGCCTTGGCCTACCTTGGCCTGCCTTGAGGCTTCAAAGAGATGGTGGTTGAATTGGGGGGGGGGGGGTGCGAAGATAGGCAAAGGAGCTCGGCCCTGGGCTCGCGTCGCTTCAGGTCGCTGGTGGGCGTCGCGTGTGCGCGCGGCAAGTTGCCGAGTTAGGGTCCCTCTTCGGCTACCGATGCTAAAAGCCTCGGACTTGGGCACCCGTAGCTGAAGCTGAGTAAGCTTATAAAGTTGATGGTTCTGGTCGGCTTCTTGCATCCCGCAGCCCCAAAGGGAGTCTCCTGGGCCGAGGAAACTCCACGACAGCAGATGCAAAGCAAAGACTCGCCCGCTCGGAGCCCGGCGTCCTCAAGCGCTTAGACACGTGGCCCATGGACTTCTCGGTCGCCTGATTTAGGGTCTAGGGTTTAGGGTTTTTTTTGCCGCCCGCCTAGCTGAACTGGACGTCCACACTGCAGGGGTCGAGGGTTTAGGGTTCTGCCACCAGCCCAGCTGACATAAAGGCCACATTGCAGGCAGCATAGTCTGGCAACCAAAGCGAAAGGGAGACTTGGTGCCGTTAAAGCCATCGCAGAAAAAACGCTCCAAATGGCTTGATTTTTTGAGCGAAATCTCCATGTGGTGATGCCCTCCTTGCACCTTCAGGTGCAAAGTGCAGTGGTCCGCACCTGTGCGGCTGTACAGATCCTTGTATCAGGCCCCCACAGCGCTGTACAAGTGGACAGCTTTTGGGGGGCACGAAAATCTGATGAGTGCGCGAGTCTACTTGCCCTGCTTCATCATCAGGGAGCGCTTTCTTTGAGTTTTCTGCATCTGGGTCTCCTCATCGCCATTTGCCTTCCACAAGCCGCGGTGAAGAACCTCGGCCGCAGCATCATGCACCTTCTCCCAGCCATGGAAGCGTCCGCGCTGGCTCAGAGTGCCGACGGCGTTGGGGAACGCATGGTGAACATCATGGAACAGCATCTCGTTCCAGCGGTGCTTGCCACCCAGAACCATAGCCATGACATTGTGCAGCACTGGCCAGGTACGGCCTGGATCCTGCGCGAGGAACTCGTTCCAGGGAAGGGAGTGCGTGAAGTTGGTGATGAACATCCAGGCCGCCGAGAACCCAATGCGGGCAAAGAACGACACGGTGAACATGAAGCGCCAGCCCTCGCTCAAGGGGCGTCCCAAAGGGTAGGTGCCGAGCAGCCACACGAAGGCCCACAGGGACAGGACAAAAGCATTGTGTTTGATGCGGCGAGGAACCCATTTGCTCCAGAACTCCTTGTTGCACTTACCACCCGCGCCCTCATCCGGGAAGTGCATCCACCACTCCAGGGCGAAGAGGGATCCGGTGTCGTTCAGGCCAAAGAAGTGGATCACCGGAATGAACGGCACGGTGAGCAGGTACTTGTACCAGTTGGAGCTCCATGGCCCTGCCCACTGCTGCAAGGCATAGTGGAACTCCTCAGGGTCCCAGCCGAACTCGCCCTGGATGAGCAAGTCCACAGTGGACGCGTGATGCCTGTTGTGTTCCAGCACGAACTCCTCCCACGGCAAGGAGAAAAAGTCCGCAAACCTATACTGAACTTGGAACCCTAGCAAAAATTGTGATTTTTGCTGTTTCTTAGGAGCAATAGCACCCAACAACTTTAAAAAATATTCCGAATAATTCCAATAATTCCTAAGAAACGGGTGGGTCAAGAAGCGCTGCCATTCGTACACGGGGAAGGTGGCACCGTGCATGACATCATGATCGATGTAGATCTGCTGGATGGCGATGTACGAAAACGGGATGCCGAAGCACAGCGTGCAAGTCCACCAAAAGTCTGGGAAGCAAGCCAAGGCTGCGCAATAGGCGATTACCATCAATACTTGGCTGAAAAAGATCGCTGTGAGCACGTTCCACATGTATATCATCTGCTCAGGTGTGATCTTGGTGAAGAGGAACGCCAAGTTTTGCGGCATGGGGTCTGGCTTGTTCGGGGTCGGGAAAAGCCGATTGGTCTTCAGACTCCTGTTTTCGTTGTTTTTCTGAACCGAGAGCATCTTGTCGCTGCTTTGCGCAACGCCTGCTGCATTCGGGTCTCCTTCACCAGGCAGTGCGTTTTTGAGAGCGGCGATCTCATGATCATGCTCGTACTTGCGCTTAAGCTCCTCGAGGTACTCATCCGCGCCATAGAAGATCGAGGCCTTGCTGTGGGCCTGGCCCTTGCCCTCCTTGGCCAAGAGCGGCGCGCGGGTCGCCATAGATGCAATGGCGGTCGAGAATTGAAGTTGTGCTTGGACCACAAAACTTGGGCCAAAATGCTTGAGACATAGCGATTCTGGGTTTAGGGTTCAGGGCTTAGGGTTTACTGCTCTATGTCCGGGGCCCCACAAACCCCCCAAACGCATTGTGAACATTCCAGGCCACGGAGAAAGGTCTGTTGAAGAACCTTGCACGCGAGGTCCAACATTCTGGCCCTCCTGTGTAGAAACCCTAGGCTGGCTGATCCTAAACCCTAAACCCTAAACCCCAAACCCTAAACCCTAAACCCCCTTGACGTATTTACAAGAAGCCGAGACCCACCTCCGGAGTGGCCTGGGGCACATCCTCCTGAAGATGACTGGGCAGCGCAAGCAGACAAACACTACAGGAGAAACCAGCCGAAGCATGTTTCCTAACCATGCTGGGCACAGGCTCACATCTCGCTCACGAGTTTACGACTCTTCTCTCAAGGCACGCCCTTTGCCTCTTACTGCTGCAGGTTTTCAAGGAATGCTGGGCTGTGACGATGTACAGAGCATGCGAGGCGACATAACCCACATCTGCCCGAAGCTTCATGGCTCCAAAGCCGCACTTCCCTGTCCTCGGCCTCCTCAGATCTCGCTTTTTCAGCGCTAGCTGCAGGAGCCTCGGGCCAGCCACCAGAGCATCCGAAAGCAACCGGTAGAACTTACACAAACTGGCTTCTTAAGGAAGAGAGAGCGCGCAGGACTTCGGAGGCTCCCAGGGCTGACTACCCAAAGCCGAAGCCCAACAAGCTCGACTGCAAGGCCACGCAAAAGCAATAATGTGAGCCTCAACGGTGCCATTCACCGGCGTCTCCTTCGCCTCGGCTCCACAAGCGCGAAAGGATTGCCCTCGATGAGAAACCCGAAATGCTGAACGCAGAGCCCGCAGCAACAAGCCCAAACGACAAGCAAATCTTGGGTGAACCCACAATGCAAGACATGTTATGGCTGCAAGTTGGTGTCGCCAGCCTGTAACTCAAAATCCCAAACCCTGTAACTCAAAATCCCAAACCCTGTGGACCACAGACTGCCAAACCTCGAACCTGGGCCGCAGTACCTTGCAGCATGCCACATTAGCACGTGCCTCTCAAGCACAGCGCGTCAAACCCACCCCAAATTCCCCTGTCGATCCCCCTGGGCCGCAGACCGACACCGAAAACGTCACGCAAACCCATCACCCATCACCCCCTACTCCTAAGCCCTGAACTCAACCCTGAACCCCAAACCCTCAAACCCGAAACCCTAAACCCTAAACTCGAAACCCTCAACCTAAACCCTGAACCCTCGACCCTAAACCCTAAACCCTGGCCTCCTCCTCAGCCTCTGTGTAGCCGCCCAACAGCCCAGGGAGGCCGGCCGCTTCGCCTGACTCCAGGGTTTAGGGTTTAGGGTTTAGGGTTTAGGGTTTAGGGTTTAGGGCTTAGGGCTTGGGGCTTGGGGCTTAGGGCTTAGGGTTTAGGTTTAGGGTTTAGGGCTTTCTTTGCCACCCCTAGCAGACCCCCTTCTGGGATCACTGTGCACGGAACAGTCGGGCGAAAGGTTTAGGGTTTAGGGTGCGATCATGGGAGTTGTCTCATCTCGCCTTCCGTTTCCTGGCAGTCAGCAAGTCCTGGTTCAAAAAAGGGTGCGATCTCGCTTCGTACGCTCTTAGAGCTGTAGAAAGCACACGGAAAAGTCATGACACCCTTTACCCCGAACCCTAAGCGCCCACAAAGTGACGAGCGAAGGGTTGGCGGATCTGTGGTAGGGTGTGGAGCTCTTTCAGGGTGAATCATAGTGGGTTCCTTGGACATTTGTGTCTTTCACTCCAAGGAACTCCCTCACAAATCCCACAAGCCGACTCAGGCCTGTCTGTGCCGAGGGCGAAGGTGATCCTCAATGAAGAATGAAGATGGCAGGGTTATAGGTATCAGGAGGCATCTCCAAAAGCATTTGGGCTCCAAGTGTTTACGACATGCCTGAACCCTGTCCCTCTGGCGGTTTAGGGGTTTAGGGGTTTAGGGTTTAGGGTTCAGGGTTCAGGGTTCAGGGTTCAGGGTTCAGGGTTTAGGGTTTCCTGAAAGGACCGTCCTGTCCGGAATTGTCACCAAAACGGGTTCTGCGAGGACGCCAAGGCAGCAGGGGAGGCCGATAAACTCTTCCTTACAGTCAGCCCTTTAAGAACCCGGCACCGAATACAAAGGCACTAAGGCCAGATCCTGGAAATCGCACCAGCGATGGCAAAAAGGTGGCGCCACAACAAGGAACGCAGGAAGGGGCGAGGCGAAGCCCCCCGAAGTCCCCGGAGACAAGGTGTGAAGAAACCGCCCCCACGCAACCGTCTCGTGAAACTCCAAGGGCCCGTCTCGCTTCGGCCGGAGACGCGGGAGGCGGAGGCTCCTGCACTCGGCCCGGTGGGCCCCAAGTCCATGGTTGGTCGCTACTGTCATATACTGTGATGCTATCTTCGGGATTTCTCCGTTCATCAACCACGAATCCTAGCCGGCAACCAAACCAGACGACATCCATGTAACCCCAACCCAGCGGCTCCTCATCGTCCGGGTCATCGTCGAGCGACTCGAAGTAGCTGTCGTCCTAGCAAGTCTCCCAATTCTCATCACGTCTGCTGAAAGATGCCCCACTAACTCTTTCAACACAAGTTGTCACCATGCCTCAGATCTTCAATCCACATGGCCCCCAGAGCCCTTCGACATCGCATGCCGAAAACGAAAGGCCATCCCACAGCCACAGCCTCAAAGGCAATGAGCAACTTGCACTCAGGACCAAAACTAATTTCACTTCGAACATCCCCACCCTCTCTGGGTAGAGACACTCTGGGGTTGGGCACTCCAGGGACACTCTGGGGTTGGGCACTCTAGGGCCTAGACTCTAGGGACACTCTGGGGTTGGGCACTGGACAGTCTGGGATGCGAGGAGTAGACCGGGCGAGGAGAAGAATTGAGTTTAAAATTTAGCAACCCCACACCGAGGGTGGGGAAAAACGCCGCCATAAACACCACCGTCCTTCGCAAGCCTTACTCACGGCCCCGGCCAAGTGCCCTGAAATATCTGGACTGCAGGGACAACTCAAGCGACCATACGCAGCAAGGTATGCTGAGCAGCTAAAGACCAAGCCCTAGGCCCTGGACCTCCAGAAAAGCCCTGAACTCATGAAGTTTGCTTGCCTGTTTGCACCCTGCCCCCCCAAACCCCCCGCGATGGCGGCTGCGCCTCGCCCGAGTCATCACGTCCAGGGCTCTTCGACTGCCTCTCTGAGTAAGCGATGCTGGGTTTTTGGGGCCAGGCTTTCGGGAACTATGGAAAATCCATATTGGCAAGATGGTGTCATCAGAATGGACCTGCGCATCTCGCGAGCAGAAGTACCAAATTACCACCCGACCAAATGTTGCACACCCTGCCTTTTCGCGGCTCTTTGACCAGAACCTCAGCCGACTTTCAGATCTCACAAGGCATTCAGGAGAAGGGATGACATCACTGAAATTGGGGACCTGAAAAAGAGAACCCCAGCTCCTGAAGCTTTGCGGGCCGTCACCCACGACAAGAAGCGAAGTGAGTGTGCGACCGGGCTTAAGGGCTTAAGGCCTCGGCCTTTACCCGGGAAATCAAGCAGGGCAACTGCGCCAAAGGCTAACAGCACAGTTTTGGGGCTGAAGTTTGACATCTAACCAACCCAAGACCCCGCACCCAAAATGTTGTGATAAACCTGCTCTGTGTCATGGGATCCTCCCCGACCTCGCCTGAAAGATAGCCTTATAAAGGGCCTTTGTATAACAGAGACATGTCTTTTATACCCAGGTATACCGCAACTGTAAGTTGAGAATCTTCGCATTTAGGCCCAAAACAAGCGCCTAAATGAAACCTTGTTTGGGCCTCCTTTTTGGGGTTGGGAGTGGGGTGTGCCAGTGTGGCGGCTCGCGGCCGCCTCTTTGCCTGTGGGACGTTGTGTCTTCTCTTGTGCCAAGCAAACCAAGCCCACTACACGTCAAGACGTAAGACTGCATACAAGAGACGATGTGTTAAGCTTCTGGTCACATCTCTATGGCAATGCACATGCCACTCGTTCCTGCAGCACAGGTGTTTGAGGTCGGCTCCATCCATGGGCCCACCCGCTGCGTGCTGCTCGGGCGGAAAATTTTCCACCTGCCCGGCAGCTTTAGGCGCGAGGTCTGTTGACACGGTTTCGGATCGGTTCGTGAGTACCCTGGTCTGGGTGTTTGAGATGAGCCTCCTTAAACTCTGCCAGTGTCAAGATTTCACATGGCCCCCAAACAGCATTCAAGCGATGGCCTCCAGGTTCTGCTGGTATTTCAGCAGAAGCCTTGGGGGGGCAGGGAGCTTGAGAAGGCTCTCGGACATCTCAGAATCTTATGAGCGAAGGCTTGCGGGATTGCACGTGGGATCTTCAGGTGTAAGAACTGGTGCAAGGGTCACGCGAAGCTTTGTCGGATGGTGAACAAGTGCTACACAGCTGTCAAAGGATGCGACGGACTTCAAGCTTCCGAGTCACAAAGCCACAAAGCCACATCACGGACCCCCAGGACTTCCGATGCGAGCTGGCGGCGCTTCGAGAGGCTTGATTTGTCGCCCGTATCGCTGCAGGAGCGGCCTCAGCTACTGCCGCCAAGGTCTGGGATTTGGGGTCTCGGGATTCGGGGGCCTTCAAGGTGACGGCCGGACCGACTGCAGCTTGCGCGTTCCGGAAATGCTGATGGGGATGCTGGGCCGGGAGAGAACAAGCAAAGAGACCACCAAAGACCCGAACACCACGTCGCGCAAGTCCACTTGCAAATGGTAGACATAAGCCCTGAGCCCATGGTTCTTCGCGATGTTCTCCACCTGGCTCAGCTGCTGAAGGGCTGCGGGCTTGTGAAACAGTGAGTTGAAGGGGATGTAGCAGAACCCAAGCCATGGTGTCTACTGGCCATGGCGTTGGGCTTAGGGGCTTAGGGCTTTTGGGGCCTCTTGGGCTTCCTGCCGGAAAACCAAGCTGAGGCAAGTCCGTGCCCGAAACCCTCAACAAAAGCCACACCTGGACTCGAGACCTCCCGCGTCCTCCCCTTCTCCCAGGGGCACCAAGGGCTTGAGGTTGTTGGAGCGGATGAACTCAAGCAGCTCCAATGTGGCGCTGGCCATGAGGTTCGTCCCTGGCACGGCGTGAAGGGTGCATAGGGTTTAGGCTTGGGGCTTAGGGCTTGGGGTTTAGGGTCTAGGGCTTTTTGTTAAGGGTTTTGGGTTTAGGGTCTGGGGTCTAGTATGTAGCGTTTAGGGTACAAGCATTTTGCACTGGTATCTCAAACTCGAGACTAGGCTCGCCGTGCAGCTCCGACACGTCTAAGAAAAGTTTGGATGTTGCCGGAAGGGTCGAAGGTTCAGTCCGGGGGTCCAGCTCTTGCAGCCGTTACTGCTTCGAGCAAGGGGCAACTATGGGCCGACTACAATCAACTCACATACAGTCATAGACTCTGGCCATTGAAACTCCAACAACACAGACAGAAACTTTAGATAGTACTCAATGTTCAGCGGCTTCGGGTTCTGAAGCCCAAGAGGCCCGTTCCATGTTACAAGATAGCGGCAGTACGGGAACAACTTTACCCATTGTAATCCATTGCATACCGTGTACTAGATTCCTACGTTCTCGGCGTCCGCCTTCTTTCTGCGAGCCTCGGCGCTTCAAACAGACCCTGCGAAATAGGAGATAAGAGGAGTCTCTCTGCACCAAATCTCCAAGTTTAGGGTTCGGGCTTAGGATTCATTCACAGATGGTCGTTGCTACTGCGAACTCCAGTTCTCAGCGGCGTGCCTTGTGAAGACAGCGTATGCAAACTGGAACTCGCGAACCGTCAACAGTGCGAAGCTCCGCCCCAAGACCCAACTCCCACATCCGAGAACAAATCATAACAAAACTTCAAGCGGAGGTCCAAATGCGTGGGCCATGTCCTGCCTAATGCTGGAGGCGATATGCACTGCTCAAAACCTCGGCGGGGCAAAAAAGGGGCAAAGCAAGCGGCAACGCCTTGAGTCAGGGAACGTCAGGGACAGCTGCCAAATGATCTTCCTTGGATTCTCGCTCCAGTGGCCAAATCCCAGGGCCCCCACTCCGCAAGAGCTGCGATAGGAAGCCGTTCTTTGTCACGTAGCGCATGTACGCCTCATCCTGTGCGGAACCGATTCTCATAAAGCGCCGCGGACCAGGGCCCTCCAGCAAGAAGATGAGCATTGCTTAGGGTTTTTTTTCCCCCACCGGGTTGAGGGTTTAGGGTTTAGGGTTTGGGTTTAGGGTTTAGGGATTGGCTCAGCACTTCTTCACCCTGGCGGCAATTTGAGAACTTCCCTGGCTCCCAAGCGGTTTCAATGCTTCACTTCTTCGAGGACTGTTCGAGGAGGTAGCGATTCACGCTCGAAAGCCCCAGGAAAGGGATTCTTTGGAGAAACTCTCAAAGGCCTAAAGCCTGAAAACCCTTGTAGAAGCGATTGCTCGAGAGACCCCTCTACACAAATCATAGCCAACGGAAGTGGCATGTATTTCCGATCATGTCCGGTCCCGAAGAAACCCGTTGCCATCAACAGCAGGTACCTTCGTGCCCACGAAGGCGCGTAGCACACGGACAGCTGCCAGTTGCAGGTACTTCTGGGGAACCTTTGGTGGGCTAAGGGCGCAGGCCGTGGGATTTAAAGGCTCTCGCTGTCTGCAAATATTTGGTGACAGCCTCATCCTGAAGGTATCCGAACCCCTTGTTTACTGCCCCGTAACCAGCCTGGGAAGCAGGTGGGGCGATCCTCAAACCCCCAAACACCTTGGGCTCGCATTCCAACTCAAAGGTAAGCCACCTCTCAACTGCTGGATTATAGGTTCACCTGGGCCTGATTTTGTTAAGAGCATCTTCCTTGTAAGGATGCCGAGAGGCGCCCAGTAGTCTGCAGACATGCCTTGGTGCGCCACTCACTTCATGAGAGAGGGGGGAGGGCTTCGGGGTTTCAATGAGGTTCGTTTTGCATGGAGGGTCTCGTTACATGCAACACAAGTGAAAAAATAGACACGCAAACACACTCTAGGACCTACAAAAGGCTGAAGCAGCGGCTGTGCCGTTTGTGGGCTGGATGCACACAGCTGCGCACAATGCTCTTGAGCTCTGCAACAAGGAAACTGCAAACCTAGCAGAACTGCGGAGGCACCGAAGCACAGCCCAGTTGCTGTCCTATTCCGTGGCGGATCACGAAGACCTGACACGGGACTCTGCAACCCCCGGAGCCCTCAACCCTGGGAGCCCTTGGCTCCAGGGCACTTTGAGTGAGATGAGCCAACCCTGCCATGTCCGTACCCCCTTCCGAGTCTCTGTCATCTGTCAGTGGGTCTGGGCCCCTGTAGGGTTTTTTTTGGGAAGCGCAGGGAAGCACGCAAGAACTGCAGATCAACGTTTGGGGCCATTGAGCTTCAGAATGGTTTGGAGTTTCGGGGACTTCGGGAGCTTTTTGAAGGCTTCAGCCGTTACTCTGTGGGCCTTCGCCCGGTAGCCATGCTTCGACACGGCAAAGGCAATGATCTCACACACCAGCTGCTGCGCGAAGCACGCCTGCATCGCTGTCACCGGCCATTGCGCATACAACATTCAGGGCTGGCTTGAAAAAGGCCCAAGCCTGAGAACGAAGTGCTCAAAAGAATACAGACCGTAGAGCACTGGGAACGTCACATGCCCGAAGCCCCTGCGACGCAAGAAGTCTGAAACATCTTCAAGCCCGTGCCCAGAACCCCGGAGCCTGGACCCCTGGTGATGATATTTCTAGGAGCGCATATAGCTTCAGAGCTTTCGAGCGCCTGCCTGCGCGCCGGCTGGCTTCAGGTCTGGCCGCAAGGGCGCCACGATGGTGTCCATGATCCCGCGGTCGTAGAACACATCCAGGCCTCGGGGCAGCGAAAGAGACTTCCTTCTAGCCAGTAGGACGCAGAGGAAGCTTCATGGCTTCAGGGTCAAAGCCAAGGCTGTCGTTCTGGGTACCTTCTGTGAAACCTGCTCTCCCCCACAACGCCCATATGTCCCAAGCCCGAGCTTTCAAACGGGTCCCCGGGCGTTTCTCCTGCTCTTGCTGCTCCAGGGAAGCTGGGTCCAAGACGGCGCCTTGGGATGCTTGTGAATTGCCTATCGGGATGACAAGGAACTGAGAAAGGATGAGAAAGGTATCTGAGTTGCCCTGTCGGATCAACTTCTTCGTCGAAAGCTCCTGGTGATCTGAGGCCGAGCACGGAGAACCTCAAATATCTGGCTTTGCACGCCCTGGCGCAGAAACAGCTGGTAATGAAAAACTGAGCCCCAACTGACACGCGACCGAACCAAAAGCCGTAAACCTGAAGACTGGCGTGCGCGCAACTTGTCCCTTTGATCGCGGAAATGACTGGAACCTGAAACCTTCTTCGCATGAGGGTTCTTTTCGCGACCTCGATCCAGTCCCCCAAGACATGCCGAAACCACCAACCCGCACTGAAAAGGCGAAGCTCAATATCGATTGCCCGAGTTGCAAACAAAAACATCCTCTAGTTGCCCTCATGAAGGGTGGCGAGGATGCACATGCGGAGGGCATAAGAAAGGGGAGTGAGGAGCGGGGTCGCAGGAGAGTGGTGAAAAGGCTAAGACGAGGAAGCAGTGTGAGCTCGAACGGCGGCGCTTGCACACCCTCCGACCACAAGTGGCCCTAACGTGCACAAAACCACCAAGGCATCCCATGCCCCCTCGCACCTAGAAGCAAAATTTCCCAATGTTCCACATTGAGAATTCTGAAGTTGCAACGTGGGCTGGAGAGTTTTGACTATGTCCCTGCAGCGGGCCTGGTCCTCCTCGTTCACCATCAACTGGATGAGAACCTAAACATGTGTGCTGCTACTTTGTTTTTGCATGCACGCTATATAAAACAGCAGCAGCGCACATTTTAGGGGATGCTGTGGGGGGGTGTTTTGGGTTTAGGGTTTAGGGTTTAGGGTTTAGGGTTTAGGGTTTAGGGTTTAGGGTTTAGGGTTTAAGGGTCACCTGGAGAACCTACCACCCACCCAAACCTGCAGCTCCGGAGCCGCGCTCTGCGCGCTCTGCTTCTGAGGGCGAGGACCCCAAGTGTTGCTGGTAGGGGGAACCCTAAACCCTAAACCCTAAACCCTAAAACCCTAAACCCTAAACCCTGAACCCTGCATGGCCCAAAGCCCTCCCATCCAGGGCATCGGCGCGAAGCACCCGCTGACCGGCCTGCCAGATACAGGTCTCTCCCTAAACCCTAAACCCTAAACCCTAAACCCTCGCAGTGCAGATGCAATTCTACGCACCTCCCTCGCCAACAGCATCAATCCACCACCACCCTGAAGATCCGCCCTGCAAACTGCCTCATTGTTCTCCTGCATGAGCCAATTTCGCAAGTGCCCCGGGTGGCACGTGGCCTTTGGTGCGTTGGTGCGACTTCAGGTTTGGGATTTCAGGTTCACACTGGTGGCGTGCTTGGGATGCTGAAGCCTGAATCAAATTTCGGGTTTTCAGGGCTTACCTGACCCGGGCTGTTGCTGAAGCCCAAAGGACCCCCAAACAGACCCCCCAACCGACGTGCTGCGCATCGCTGCCCACCGAGGCCAGGGCGTGCAGAAGTAGCACCTGAAGGGGGCTCGAGGAAGAAGATACCAGGGCTCAGGGAGCCATCTTATGATATGGCCGGGCTTTGGCAGAAGAGAGATTTCATCGGTCCGAAACATTAGAAATGTAGGGCTCGCCGTCGTGGAGAATTCTCATGGGCCCGAAGTCCCCTTTCTCTTTAACCTTTTCTGCTTGCTCTTGAACCCCTTGTTCAGGCGAACCCTAAAACCCTCCCAGCCCCAAACAAGCCCCATTGCCCGAAGCGTCCGCCTCCACCGCATGGTGCTGGGCCGGGTGCTCCGAGGGCCTTCGGACTCCTGCCTGCAAGGTTTTGTGGTCACATGTCTGAAACGGCCCAAGGGTCTTCTGGCCACCCGTCTAGCACTGCCCCACGGGGCAACTGCAGAGGAACGCGAAGTTTACTGACTCGCCCAACTGAAGAAGCCCAAATTCAGAAACATCCAAGACAGGAAGTGGGGTTACCGATGTAGACAGACACCCAGCATGCCGCAAAACCAGACAAGCCCAAGGCGAAGCACACTTCCAGACCACTCGAGCCGTACCTAGTCTTCATCCTTCATCCCCGAAACACACAGCTCTTCGCTTCGGGCTCTTCACCGCTACGGGGCCTCAAGATCTCAAGAAGAGGCTGGCAAAAAACTTCAGAAAATCCAACATTCCGCGCTGGCTTGAAACCGCTCTCGTCTAGGACTTCGAGGGCTGAGCTTCCGCCTGCGGGGCCATCTTCCGTAAGAGCTCCCACGTCTTGTTTCCGGAACAAAGTTCGCATCGCTGCAGCATCCCACGACCCTGCACGAAACCCCCCCCCCCCCAAAAAAAAAAAAAGACTCCAAGGCAGCCTTCAACTCATGTTCTGCAAACCCCCAGCACCCTGTGGGGAAACTGCGCTCCTCGGGCTCCCCATCTCGCTCTGCAGGAGCATCTGAGCAGAGACCCCAAGTCCCGAAGAAGTTGGAGTGGGTTTGGGCTTCAAAGTTTTTCTGCTGGTCTGTGCCTTTATGCGACATCGACCAGCAGCTGGAAGCATTCTGGTACAATCCACACGAACACCGTCCGCAAGGTTACGCCTTGAGGATTGCACGTTGAAGGGTTTGCTTTGGGGTTGTGAGGCTCCAACAAGAGGTACTTTGTCACTTGCTTGCATTGCTCAGATCAGCCCCCGCCGCCACATGATGCTATGGCAAGTCCTGGATTACCTATGAAGACTGTCATGGCGAAGCAGCTGGGGGACTGCGACAGCAACCCTTCTGTGATCTTTGCCTTGCTCGCTGCACCTGCGGGGGAAGCCTCCGAGCGTAAGCCCTGCACTGAAGTAGACTGCGAGGGTGTCGAAAAGCCCTGCAGCCGCCATCTTGTTGTAGAGCTCCTGCTCGGGGGTGGAGCAAGCCCCGTCCAAAACAAGTCTCCAAGCCCCCCCAAACCAAAAGTGCCTGCCGTTTTGTGGGCGGGATCTGCTTGGACAAGCGGCAAGCCTGGGAAGGACTCTGCGCGCGATCTTCCCGGGTCTGGGTGTCGGCATACCCTACTAGGTTGTATGCAAGGCTTCGGGGCTGTTCGACATCCGCGTCCCGTCTGAGCCCTTGTTGATACGGAGTCCTACTGCTACTTTGCAAACTTTGCAAGTTGCATACCTCAAAGTGAGCTCTCCATGCATGCCGCGATGCATCCTGCAGGAACAGGAGGCTCTGCATGTCCTGCAGCGATGTCAGTTCAGGCGCGAGATCTGCTGGGGCTTCCACTTTCTTGAAGCACAGCGGGAACTCCTTGTCACAGGCCCTCTAGTCGGCCTGTTCCGTACACCACCTTGGACCCTGAATGAAACTGTATGAAACTGTATCGCCCCTACACGTGAGCGGGCCTCCTCGCTGACCTTCTTCAGGAGCTGCTCTAAGAGCTCCTTGCCCTTCTGAAGATGCTCGAGGATGACCTCATAGGATTTAAGTGATAGGGTCTGGGCTGGCACTCCTAAGCCGCCTTGGGTAGCGCCAGGTCAAACTTTACACTCACACCGTAAGGGCCTCACTCTAGGGGGGAAGGGGGCGGAAAAATGCAGCACCCGCGTCTTTTCCCGCGGCACGCAGCGTGCGTTTCAACTACGGACCGCCGGCACGCATCGCCGAGACGCCCATCCTTGGATTTGCCGGGGCAAAGGACTACCCAGATCTTCCAAAACCCCTTAATTAAGGAATATACCCTAATTCATACTAAGGATCCTTAGTATGAATTAGTATATATACCGTCATTAAGGGGTTTTGGAAGATATGGGTAGTGACACAAATGACCACTAATGACCAAGTTGTGTTGGTCCAACAGGCTGACATGAATTGACAGATGGATTTCTTCAGGTCTGTTTCTTGCCGCGCAAATACATGCATGTTGCGTTGGAGCAGGCCAAAGCGTCTGCGCCGTGTTGAGCGGCCCAGGGCGAATCTTCTTCCAGAGGTCATCCGGACGGTAGCCCTCAAAGCGCACGCCATCTCTCCAGATTTCCAACCCAAAACCCAAACCCTACATACCCTCTCAGTCCCTCCTCAGCCGTCCCCCACTTTCAGTCTCTCGCAAAAGCTCCGTAGCCTCTGGGATGACCCTGTCCAAGTAGGCGGGACCCTCCTGTGCGGGGCGCTTAGGATCTCGCCGTCACATCTCGCACAAGCTAGGCGAGGACTTTGACACGCAGCCTTTGGGCTTTGGAATGGGCGTTGGGGGGGGTGAGCATTGCAGCATCTGCAGGAACAGCTGTGGGAGCAGCCATGGTAAAATAGTTGCAGCAACTACATGCAAGCACAGCGCTAGTTCGCACCACAGCTGGTTCAGGAGATGCTGCGGCGCTCTTCCCTTCAACACCTTCACAGCCCTTCCCCGGTCTCTCACTGCATGGAACTTTGTCTGTATGTATATGAGCATAGATGTTATTCTACATATGTACATATACACATATATACATATGTATATATATATATGTATATATATATATAGACAGTCACTCCCCCCATGATCTAGATTTCTTGTTTCCTGCGAAAGCCTCGTACATACGACAAAAACGACATGCTGAGCATGTACGGCAAAGTCCTTTTTCGGGAACTCTGATTCTATGTAAAGAAACCGTGTAAACAAAAAATGAGAATACCTGTGCTTTGCAGGTTCTACACTTCATGACCCAAAAAAGCATCTCTCTCTCTCTCTCTCTCTCAATGCCGTGCCATCCCCTAGATTTGTGCAATCGAAAACAGCATTCGAAAATGCTATGTAGTGAACACTGCGCGCCTGATTTGCCTAAGGACAGGACACAAGCACAAATTTATGCGAAAAGAACACTTTTTACCCATTCTTCCAAGAACATCCAAGAATCCAAAAAAAAAACAAAACCATGAAGCCGGGACAACACTTGTCTTGGAAACTTTGTTTCCTGGACAACCAAAAAAAGCAACTTGGGAAACCTACTTATAAAAGAACGGCGTCCCGGCTTCATGGTCTTGGTTCGTTGGATTTGGGTATTTTTGATTGTTGTTTTTGCAAAATGTGCAAAAAAGGAGCAATTCTTGCTTAATTGTATGAGCTTTTCCTTGGCAAGTCTAGCTTTCTAGGCAAAATTCGTGCCTTCTGAAAAATGGTGCTTTTCCAAGCTGTTCATGAGCAAAGTGATTTTGTTTTGTACACAGATGCAATAGCAAATGTAGTCTCATAAGTAGAAATGAACATTAATGATGTCTTGTTTACTTCTTCGTCTCAAAAAAATCGAAATTTGGTCTACCAGTCTAGCATCATTCTTATTTAGGGTTTAGCGTCGTAATGTACAGTTATAAATACTGCAGACGAATTACGAACGCGGCTTAGAAGAGGATGTCTTGGGGTGTGGCATCTTAAAAAAATAAGTAAGCTTAACTACTAACGAAACCCAGATGAGGAATTTTTCAGGGTTTCCGAGGGTGTGGCGTTGCAACTGATATCTGAGGCTGTGGCCTCTTGATATATAGAGTTCTGTCTATATGCACGTACGAACGAAGCCCAGATGAGAATTTCGTAGGGTGGGCTTCTTATACAAAGGAAGCCCTGGTGAGGATTTCTGAGGCTGTGACATCTGCATTTAAAGTTCTTATGGGATTTCGTCACCAGTACGAACAGGCAGGCCCCAGAAGAGGATTTGATAGGGTGTGGCCTCAAATTTAGATTTGAAAAATGGACTGTATTGCACAAAGGATTTCTCAGAGGAAGGTCTCTAAGGGTGCGGCCTGCATCTAAAATGAACTAAATCTAAACATCAAGTTGACGGCTTTCCGACCTAGATCACATATATATATATATATATGTATACACTGGGATGCACATCCTACCACCTGATTGCAGCTCCTCCAGTGCCTTAGGCCGGCAGTGCCGCAGCCAGCACCAGAAGGCAGCAATAAGGAGGCCCACCACAAGCACAAAGATGAAGACGTTCTTCAAGCCGTACTTCAGCCTGGGTGGGGAACTTCACATTGGGCATCGAAGCTGAGAGCCAGGGGGAATCGCTTCCAAGGGTTTAAGGGGATCGTTTTTTCAGGAGGCCAGAAGCCACGAGTGGACTAAATGGGCCGACAGCACCCGCCTGCTGCTGTCTAATCCAGAAAAGGGGCTGGTACTTGATGAGGAGGACGAGCAGCAGAACCGCATCAGCGGCTCCCCAAACCTCTGCTTGGCAGTGTTGCGACCGATCTCAGCTCTGCTCCCTTTGCAAAAAAAGCGCCCCAAGATCCTGGGGCCCCGACAAGGAGGCACTTCCAAGCGCGAGAGTCGCTCTCCTTCCAACTGTTCTGTGCGCTTCGTTGGGAGATGTGCATGCAAAAAATGGCTGCCGGAAACGGCGCCAAGAGCGGGACAATGCATTTGAGGTTCGCAACCAACAAGGGTGGATTCGGATGGTCTTTTGTGAGGCTTTGGGTTTGGGGGGAGTTTGTGGGAAGCTGCTCTCAGGCCTCTTCTTTCGCGTAACGGCCTTCTGTAGCTGCCACTTGGCCTTCATCTGACCTTCAAGACATCCAGCCAGGGGGACTGCGGGGGTTCAGCATGGCATAGATTCAATCTCACTCTGCTGGAAAGCCCTCTGGTAGATCTTCGTCTGCGTTGCAGTCGAATTTCGATCCAGCGACGGGCGCCTGTCAAGGACTAAAGCCGCGAGGTTCCTCGGGCACTGAATCTTCGACTGCGGGACACGAACAACACACATCACATGGCAGGCATTAGTCGATTAAATTTCGCAGTCCCAAAGCACACTGGCAGGGATGTCACCCCAGAAAGCAGTGTCCAACAAGGCTCCTTGGAAGGATTCCGGTCAGTGTCGACCACGGACGTGCAATCTGGGCGATCTCGCTGATCCCTGGTCGAGGCATGAGGATTGGAGATCCGCCTACGTAAAATGCCTATTGCTGGGCTTCGGCATCAATCAGCTTGAGGTTCTTGCCTTCCCGAACCAAGGTCCTCGGTGCAGCAACGGCCTCCAGTCATCCAGCTTTTCTGTGAGGTGAAAAAGAGATGTTGGGGTCTGGGGGGCAAACTACGGCTTAGGCCTGGCTTAGGCGTCGGGTTTCGGGTTCTCTCCTGCAGCTGCTTCGGCATCTCACCGGTGCTGAGGCGGGCTTCGCCTACCCAGAGGGCTGCAGATGCTCATTCATTGCCAGACCCGGGGCACCTTCACCTGAGTAGATGCCACTTGTCTGCACTGGATCAGGGCTTTGCGTTCCAAAAAATTCCCATAGAAATGTTGGGAACAAAAACCAGAAGCCCCACGATGGGCTTTTTCGTCTGGATCTTTGCCACAAGGTGGACCAGGAAAGTTACAAGGAAAAAATTAGATCCCGAAACTGCCAAAAATCAAAGAAAGGCCACTAAGTGCTGGGTCCTTGGCTTCGAGCTGGTTTGCCCGGGAGGGACGCGACCTGCCGGCTGGCGGAGCTCGGAGAGGTTAGGCCCGCGGCGGGCCTCGTAAGGGCACAAATACCAAGACCGCTGGCAAACGTCGCAGCCGTGTCAAGTGGTGCCTCCCTGCACTGCTTCGAGAGCTGCTGCAGTCTGCGCCGCCCAAAATTACGCGCACTTCTGACGGAACTCGCAATCCTGCAGACCGGGCATTGCAAGCGGGGCTATGGGAGATAAGGATTTCTGGGGTAGTTGAACGCTTTGGTGAATGGAATATGACGATAAAGAGAGCTTCACGGACCAGGACAAGCACCATCGAACGTGAGCCACACAACGCCGCACACCAACCTGATTTCGTCAAAACGCGCAAAGCGAGGCATCGAGCAACAAAGGACTGCAAATAGCGTAGCTCAGCATCACCAGTCCTACGATGCCCATGGCAGTGTTGGGGATCTTCGCTCTCAAATCTCAGCCCGCCCACTGCAGCCCCAACCCACCAGCTGTCCAGCAGGGCCAGAAAGTCGCGCCCCCTGCGGCCCGATCTGGTGGAGCGTCTCTGCTCAACTTGGTGGCAACACAGGGCATCACGGGATTCGAGGCCAGTTGTTTGAAACCTTTAGAGATGTAAAACCTCGGAACCAACCGCGAGGCCAGAAGCCTGCATGGAATCCCCCGGCATTTGGCCCAAGTTTGATGGCTCACGCTCCTTGAGTTCCGTCACCGAAGAATGACACTGCAGCTGCAAAGTGTAGGCAGGCTCTCTTAACACTGGCTATCTTGTGGGGTACAAGCATATGCAGGGCCTTGGAGAAGGTATCCTTTGAGGAAGGGAACATTAAGTCAGAACAACCCTTGATGACACGCACCTTCAACAGCCACGGCCCATGCACAGCACCAGGATCTGCATGGAGACGCGACCAGAGGCGCCTCGACCCTACAGAAACTGGAGGAACATTGTAACTATAAACTGGGGGTTGGTCGACATCTTGGTTAGCCCAGTTTGGGCGGTGATGATCAAGAAGGTACTTCAACCTCAAC